TAATAAAACATATAAAATTAATATAGTGGACAGTTTTGGTTTTGCGAAATCATAGTGTGTAACATTTGTATTGAACCCCCCTACCCCTAGTAAAAATAAATTCCAAGTCATGTGCCCACTAATTTATCATTGGTCGAAATTATGCACAAGAAACAATTAATTGTAACAATTACGATCTAAATCAATAAAAAATAAAAAATAATTCTACAAATCTTTTTTTTTTAATAATGGCAACTCTTATCGAAAAAATTAAAAAAGACAAAGATATTGCACTTAAAGAACATGAAGAGGCAAAAGAAGAGTTGAAGCAGTGGAAAGAAGGAGAGAATGGCGGAAAGTGGCTGGAAGAGTTGAGGGGAAAGGCGAGAAGGAAAGAGCTTGACGAAGAAGACAAGGAGGAGAAGGCGAGATTGGAGAAAAAAGAAGAAGAATTAACGAAGAAGGTGTACTATTGGGGAGAGCGGATAGGGAGGTTTCAGGATGCATTATTAGCTAATTATAATGAAGAAAAAGGTAATGAACAAATTGCATAAAAAAAATATGCAAAAAATTATTTTTCATTCATTTCATTTTGTTGGTACTGTTTACAACCTTAACCAACTTGTTTACAACTTTAACTGATTTGAGCTTTTTTTCACATGTTTATTTTTCCATTCTCTATATTCCAACATTTTACACTTTATTAGGTGAGAGTAATAATATTGAAAAGCACTATATTATTGCACCAATTATCTTTATTTCTTTTTTCACTTATCATATTTTCTTACCTATTGAATAAATTTTTTCATTGCAAATTATCATCCATTATTATTATTAGTTTCACAAACTCCTCAAAAAAGAGCAATCGAAGATGTGAGCTCCCAATTAATAATTGATATTATTAAGAAAAGACCTAAGCCAACATTACCTTCTGTCAATGGACTTGCTGATTTTCTTGATCAACCTATTCCTGAAACTTTGAAATTACCTCTTTCTCAAGACCAATTACAATCTTTTATTAGCTTTGAATATCCAAGTTCATGTACAGAAAATGATCTGAACATTATCTTCAGAATTAGTGAAGAACAAACTTCCTTCTTTTTACTCAATCAGTTGGTTGGTCAGATAATTACAAAAAATGCCCCTCCATCTAATTCAACAGAGGACACCTATCATTTATTTTGGGATTTAAATATCCGGAATCCTCTTGAACTTCTAATCCCAGATGGTATATCTGTTCGAAATACTTCTCAGCATATGAGTACTGCTAATAAACGACCTGATTATGAGTTTATTGTTGGTCAAATTTGTACATTTAGAGGAGAAGAAAAACCAGAAATGAGCAATGAAGATCCAAAAGCAGAACTTAGAGATAAATTGATTTGGGCATATGGTGCAGCACCATATATTATGGGATACTATGCTGAAGGAACAAATGTTACATTTGTTGCCATTTGCCGACCTTCTTCTGATTCAAATAAACCACAAATCATCAATATTGTGAGTTCAAATCTAAGGCATAGAAATGAACGCATTATTAACTTGCGACGAATGTTCAACTTGGCCCTGCTTCTAGATCCACTCAAGGAAATAATTGGATGGCGCGGTGCACCTGAACTTCTTCCAATTGAAAAGTAGGTTGATAATGTTGGCTTAGAGACACTTCATCTTCTTTATTTACAGTATATCATTTATATAATAATTTTTTCTTCTTATCATAGAGATGACCATATTATTACTGTGAATCCCACAAATGTCAAGAAGGTTTTCATTGGTTCGAATTCACAGATTCAAATTGAAAAGTTAAAAGTTATCTATGAGAAATTAAAGCATAAAAATGTACCAAATGTTGATCATATTATTGCTGTAAGTTTGCCTGATGAAATAAATCCTTATTTGTATTTGGAACCAAGAGGTATGTGTGTCTATTCAAAAACGGAAAAAGAAGTGATGGAAGCTGTTTTATGTGTACTTGAGGCACTTATGGTAGGTATCAATTAATTAATTAATTCCAAACAGATATTTATATTTCAATATAACATTGATATTATTTTCTAATATAGAGTATGCATGGTAGTGATCCTATTTTCCACCGGGACATCTGTTGGTCTAATGTTATTCAAAAAGTAAATGGAAATAAACCATCAAAGTGGTTTCTTATTGATTTTGATGATGCAATTTCTCCTCCAACCTTTGCAGCAATGCATCTTGCAAAGGAGACTCATGCACCAGAAGTTTTTCATGATGATCATGGTGGAGAAGTTGATGTTTGGGGTGTTGGGCATTTAATAGATTATGCAGCAAGATTATCAGTTGGTCTCTCTGCAGAGATTATGGATGTAGGGAAATGGATGCAGAATGGAACAACATCTAGACCAACTGCTTGGCAAGCTTATGAAAGAATCAAAACACTAGCAAATTCCATTGGGTAAAAGATCAAGCAATGTGATTGCTCATATCTTAATAGATTTGGCTTGTGATAGCATTTCTTTATAGGAATTTGTAAACACAAAATGGAAAATATAATGCATCATTTAAGCTAGAATGTAATAAACTTGATTATATCAAATTGAACAATAAAATTATAGATTTCTGCATAATATCAACATTGAACCTTTTTGTTACTTGTCAGTTATCACTTAAGAGCTTGTTATTTCTTTTACTTGAACTTTTTACTATATTTTTATCTAAAAAAATAATAAAAACTTTCTTGTAGTCATGAAAATTTTCATTGACATAATAATTCCTTTCATCAATAAAAACTGAACATCTTGTGTCCCATTAACATATTCTCTCTGTACTTTCTCTTATCCTATCCTGAATTATTGTGAAAAGGTTAATTAAAAAGTTAAATGGAAATTTATTGCATAAACCTACAAAGTAAACATAACATTATAAAATTATATATACAGGGATAAGTGTATATGAAAAATAATAATGTAAATAATAATCATAATGGTTCTAATGAATATGAAAGAGCAATTTATTTTTTAGAAAAAGGTTGTGATTGTGGTTGTTCTTCAAGAATTCCCAAGGAACAATTTGCAGAATTAAGGGAATCCTTTCAAGCTCTTTCTAAGTCT